TTTTTTTTTTTTTTTTTTTTTTTTTTTTTTTTTTTGGGAACTGTGCTCCATCTAACGGTGGGGAGCAGCACCTGCTGGAAAACGCTTCCTGCGTCCCAGAACATTGTATCCATTGAGGAACATCTGAAAGCAAGATATGATATTTGGCTGCCAGCATTGACTACCCCAGTGGACCTGGGGGATTAACTGCGCAGCTTTCTTTTTCCTTTCTTAGAAGTTTCTGCCTCTTCAATCTCCGAGGAGACGCCCAATCCATCATTCATTGCATTAGATGTTTCCTTCTTACCTGGATAGTCTGAGAGTACCTCACATCTGCCAGCATTGATTGCCCTCGAAACCAGGGGATTGACTGCGCAGATGGTAAAGGAAAGAGGATGATATTGAGAATGACACGGAGAATGTGTGGCTAGTGTCCCACCCCTGTGACGAACTACCTTCTGTTCTGCACAACTTTCTGCGCGGTTGCATTTTGGGGGCTGGAGGGAAGGGCATGGTTCAATTACACAAGTACCCCCATTCTTTTCCTCTTTTCCTTGTTTTGAGAAAACTTGGTCCCATGGCGGTTGGTAGTTAGGATGCGCCTTAGCGAACGTGGAAGTAACGGTTGACGTGGCCTCTTTCTTTTTCTGTTGGGAACGGGGAAGGGAACTTTGGCGCGGTCATCGCGCGGGAAATGTCTTTTTGAATTTCAAAATGCTGAAGAAAATATGGGAGTGATAAGAATTAGGACTTTAATTAGATTAGGATTTTAGTGTCGTCGTATTTTCTGTTTGATAACTGCACGGTGCTCCTAACTCGCGCACACCCTGCCACGCTCAGTCCCGCACTCTACTCCCGTGGCGCCTTAATTAAAATCGCAACTGTAATCTCTTCTTGTTCCTCCCATTGTGAGTGTCGGTGTAACTGTAATCTCCTCGCCCCTGGCTTCTCATTGCGCTGAGACACGCATCCCCCTCTCCTTTCATCTCGTTGCCCACAGCGGTGCATGACTGGATCGATGCGTGGAGAGTGGCTACATCCCCCACGCCGCGGCTCGGCATGCCTACCGTAGGCACTTCCTCATCTCGTCTCTCCTCTGCCTCAGCATAATCCCGATTATTTCGCGCTGATGCTATTAGCTATAAATGTTGCAAGCGTGACAAAATCTCTCTCTAATCAAATTTGGAAGGTTAGCGAGGTCGAGAGGATTGACTAACGGGTAGGAACCGACGAGGAGGTGAGCTCAGTGTTGGGCGATCTGACGGGCTGGTGGTTAGTGTGAGGGATTGCCGTGTGGCCACGATGGACTGTGGAACATCGGTGAATCCGGCGTGCATACTTGCGCTAAGCGGGGTGACAACTCTGAGTTGATGGTAGCCTTGGTAGGTGTGAGGCAACAGACTGTGATGCCCAACCTCACCCCCAGCGCGACTTCCTGATCGGAGTGGGATGGGGGCCCAGAAGTGCGAAAAAAAGGGGGTGTGCCAAGGATTTAAGGAAAGTGAGGTTGGAGTCCCAGGACATAACTGAGATCTCCTGTGGCAAGTTTCGGGGGTAGAAGTGCAAGAGGGCAAGTGCGGGCCATGTGCGGCGTGTCGGGTTTTAGGAGCGAATAGACCGCCTCTTAAACTCAGTGTAAAGAAAGGGAAGCTGCAGATGTCGTGCGGCATAGGGCAGATGGCGTGCACAGGGCATCCCAAGGATAAGAGTCCCGGTGTATTCACGTTGTAACAGATCTAGATACTCTTGCATTCTCGAACAAAGTCCCTGGCGGCATTGTCCTTGTCATCGATCTCAAGCATGTTTCGTTATGCCTTAGGCCCGAGAGAGGGGAATTACCATCTCCTCTGGTTTCGCCTTTGCGGTCGGTCACGGACCTGATGGACAGAGTGCACGCTATGGGTATCGCGCTATCTGATCAACTGCTGTCGTCGATCGCTACAAACTTCGGAATCAGACGATGAGAGTCTCAGTTGGAGGTTGCGTGCCCGCCGTTCAGACTCCATTCGGGTTCGACGAACGAACCTTGAGGCTCGGTACTTGCTGTCTCGCTGGCACTCAGAACAGGGGGTTCGAGGCCAATAGGGAGCAATAGCGTGCCACGGAATGACGGTGAGGTAATGGAAGGGCAGCACCACTCGGTACAGTGGGCAGTGAGTTATTCGGACGACGACCCTAGGTTCGGAGAAGTCGTGGCTCGTGCGTGACTCGGGGAATTGGGCTGTGTAACAAACAATGTCTGATGCCCTTCCTATATCCCAGTCTCACACGCGTTCATCTCCTTGTTGGTAAGGGAATCTCGGAGGCCGGGGCGGGGCTGAGTGAGGAAGTACGCGTTCTTTCGTTCCCAATATTTCCGATATTCAGTGTCCCGCAAGCTTTCTCTGTCCGTAATGCGAAACATCCTGTCAATCCGGCAAAAACGCCGCCATGGCCCGCGCACAGATCTTGCAGGCACGCGTGTACGCGTCGTCCCCTTTCGGTCGGGCTTATACGTGCATGCACAGGATCTGTTCACGGCTAAGTGAGGGGCTGGTTACGGGTGAGCAGGAGTGGGCGCAAGCGATGGTCGATCAGAAGATGCGATCTAAGTTAGCTTAATTCAAATTTCGTCACTTTCTAGTGCCCATCATCGCTGCCCTCCCCCTTCCTATGTCGTGCGCGACCCCTCATTCTCTCCCGAATACTAGGGCGAATAGTCAATCCCGAACAACCAATCACGAGTCCGTACAATCGCAACTTCTGCGTACACCTATCTGTTCTACCATTATGCATTCATCAAAACACGAAATTCCCCTCAGACTCATTCATGTTTAGCGACGGCGAGGTAATCGACAAAAGTCCGTATCTTAGATCTTAAGGAAAAACGACATGCATTCAAACAGAAACCACCGATCTTGCAAGAAGTTGAGAAGTGCAATCATGCTGCAAACAGAGAGTGAGAAAGTACGAGCATTCATCGGACTGTCAACCATGCAAGCTTGGTAGAGTGGGAAACAAATGATGATGCGCACCAAAATGCAAAAATAATTCGCAAAGAAAAATCTGAAGTTGCCGCAACAAAATTGGCCAGGGTGGAAATCCAAAATTTATTCAGGAAGGTTGGACGAAGAAGAAACAAAAAGAAAAGACACCATCCCGATCGTCTCCTCTCTCTCTCTCTCTCTCTTCCCGTTGTGGGCAGTCCGTCACCTCGCATCAACACCCACGATACCGGCAGTTCGTCGCCCCGTATGGGCCGAATCTACACCGAGTTGTCACCCCGCTTAGCTCAAGCATGCAAGCCAGGTTCGCCCATGCGCCACAGTCCGTCGCGGCCCCGCACGTCAACCCCGCACACCCGACACCAGCTCGTCGGATCGCCCAACTCTCATACTCACTCACCTTCCAACTTGCTCGTTAGACGACCCTCACTGATCGCGCTAACCTCGAAATTCTTCGAGAGTCAACTAATCGCGCTTGCGAAATTTATAGCATGCACGCTTGCGGGAGGGATATGGGATTAGCACCAAGTGATGAGAAAGAGAAAAGAGGGAGTGTCTACGTCTGCATGTCCGGGCCTCGGCGCGGGGGACGAAGCCACTCTCCTCGTATCGATCCAGGCATGCAAACGTGGGGACCACTTAGAACAGAGGAACAGAGTGTGCATGCGAAGACGAGGCGGGAAAGAAGGAAACACAAAGGCCATCAAGAACAGGAAGATTACAGTTGCGATCGAGCCCGCCAAAAACTACAGTTACACACAGGATTAAGGCGCGGATGGAAATCAGAGCCCAAACCCTGTCGAGGCATAGTGCGTGCTAGCAAGAAGCGTCGTGTAGCCAAATTGCAAAGTGCCTAAATTCCTAGTCTAAATCCTTATTGCAAAGAAAATTTTGAAAAAAAAACAATTCCGAGAGTCTGCGGGGTCTCGATATTAGTTCGAATAAAAACGAAAATTATCGCGAGCTAATCGCGCCAAAATTCCTAGTGCTCACAGCAGAACAAGAAAGAAGCTATGACAACCGTTATTTCTCGCGGTCGCTAGGGCGCGGTCACTCAATCGTCGGCGCGGGGCTTTCCCAGCACCGGCCCAACGAATTCCAATAAAAACGAAAAAGAAGCGAGGGCATCCATGCAACTTGCCCAACCGGTCCTTGCTTACGCCCGTCACCTATCAACGCCCTCCCGTTTTCCCACAGCAGCCTCGCGCAGGAAGTCGCGCGGTTACAGAAGATAGTTCGTCACATATGTGACGCCCAGGGGGTTCCAATTTTGTGCAAGCTCCCACTTGCTCTCTCATCAGACGTCGATCCATGATCGGATGGTCGACGCAGAGCTTACACGTGCCACGCTGTAGGATCCGAGTGTGGAAGTCGTTCAATCGTGACAATCATGTGCTCAATCAAGAATGGTGTCGGGGAAGAGTAGTCTGATTACGGGTGGGGGAGGGGACGGATGTACCTGGGGAAGGGGAGGCATGAAGTTATAGATCTCCCTATCGTCAGAAGGGAGCGGGATGTAGTAGATGGAGCGATGGATATGAGGAAAGCGAGGGTGCCTTCGTTGGTGGGGGAGGGAAGCAAGGTAGTCGGGGTAAAGGGTGACGATGGTGCGACGAATGGTTGTGCGAAAATTGTCGTAATCCTCGCACGCGGGATTGTGTCAGAGATGATGCAATAAACCTCCAAATGATTGAATTCCTGCCAATCGACGCTAAAGAGTAGGATATGGAGGGGAAAGGAACTGACGAGCGAACGGGTAGTAGTGTGAGGGAAGATAGTGATCAGGAGGTGGGTGGCATAACAATGATAGAAGAGGGGAAGAGGGAATGGATGCCGGCTGTTGGGGAATGAGAGTCGGCCTACAAGCTGCTGGATGGTGAGGAAGTCATGGGGCCGACAAGATAACGACCGGGGACGAAGCCCGATCGCCCGCATTTCGACGTAAACGAAGGGCGGCACAGAAGGGTGAGGAGGATTGAGAGGGGGATCCACTTCTTCGGTGGTGGCGGCTTGTTGAGGGTCCAGCTCTGGCGGCTCCATCTCTCTTGTGTTCTTCCTGCAGAGGCTCCGGATTGAGTGCAGGATTTCCCTGCAGCAGTTGCGGTGGCGGTCCTAAGTCCTCGACCGGAGGTTTGCCTTCCGCCTTTTCCCGCCGCTTCTGGTCCTCAGCTTCCTGCTCCTCCCCCGTCAGCTCGGTTGCTTCACTTGAATCAGTCGACGTGGCTTCTTCCTCCGAGTCGTCCTCCTGTTCCTCATTGTCCTCCCCTGATCCAACCTCTCCCAACACCTCGTCGTCGGACTCTCGGTAGTCAGGATCGTCGTTCTGCTCCTCCTCTTCCGCCGACTCTTCGGATTCTTCTTCCTCCTCTTCCTCTACCTCCTCACTCGTCTGTCCTTCAGGAGAGCGTCGGAAGAGCGGGTCCCATGTGGACAGATCGGTGACGTCAACTGTCAAAAACATGCCCCTCGACGGTAAATAGTAGCTCCCCTCGTCTAGCTCCGTACACGTGGACCACAGGAGGCGCAGCTCCAAGGAGCGGGTAAGCGTCTCCATTCCTGGCCTTTCGTCGTAGCGTGACAGGATCTCTAGCGGCAGATCGTCCAACACTTGGAACAGGAATACCAGCAACTCGTTTGTGAGGGCGCTCACATTGTCGTCGCGCACTTCCCCAAATATAATTCTCAGAAAATCTCCCTCCATACCTATTCTCCACGCTTGAGCGAGCAGCAGCTCTACCTCATCATCTGGAACCTCGCTCTCCACAGCCCGATCTGCCGGCTCGGGCCAATGGAACGCGACGTCGAGAAGGCAGAAGCTGAGCGCCACGTAAGCTTGCCACTGCCACCACCGGCCCCACGACAACGCGCTCAGGATCGGCACGTCCACGTGCTTGACCGTGAAGGATAAACATGTGTCCTCGACAGACTGCCAGAACACGGGGACATCCGAAGGGAGGGTGAAGGTGGAGAGGCGATGACGATTCATCGAGCCTGGGCGAAAGGAAGGAGCTCAGGAAGGTCGACCTCCGGTGCAGTGAGAGACACCCGAAGTTGAAGGTCGATATTGTTGGTCGTTACGACCCGATCGCGAGGTCGAGCCAACAATCGCACCCACGCCCTCGTGATATCCATCGCCCAGGCTCTCACCTATCGAAAGATCTCGGTATGGAGCATCGGATGTAGAGAAGTAAGGTCGCCGATGAAGACGATGATGACCGACACGTGGCTCTATCCCGAGGGAGACAGTCGCAAAAAGGCCAACGCTTCAGCCAACACACGTGTCTCTCCAGCTGGCGTGAATCGAATGGTCGCCTCGTGAATGGCCGCCGTGCTGAAGAAGGCAGCGAACCGGAGTATATCTGGATTCACTCGGGGTCGCCACACTTGCCGGATCGATAATGTGCAACCACTGGGTTGCATCAAATGCTCACTGATGACTGGCTCGTTCAAAAAGCTCATGGCGATGGCGAGGGGGACGAAGGCTCACAAGTAGAGGAATCAAGATAATCGAGGTGGTCGTCTTCCTCCTCGGGTTCGAGGGACGCCGTAGACGATGGAGAAGAAGGGGAGGAAGGAAGACGACGAAGGTAGGACACGTGGTGAATGATCGGACGAGCTGATCGGTTTCCAGACACCTCCGGCGCAAGCCGCACCGTGTTCACCCCGCTCGGACCAAGCTCGACTACACGAAATCGCTCGAAGAATCGTGGCGCTGGCTTACCTTGACGAACACATTTCCTCACCTGCACTATGTCCCCTAATTTGTACTGGGTCGGGGACCCGCGTTCCCGTTCTGGGCCTCATAGCTTCGGACCTCTCGGCCATGGGCCATTTCCGTCATAAGCTGTCTCGTTCGGGCCAACCGGGGGAGGGCCCTTTCCATCAAATCCAAATGACGTTGGCCTTTGTCCTTAATCGTCGCTCTAGTGGCCCTTCGGGGAAGGGTCGGTTCATCATTTAGGCTCGGAAGGGTTACGCATGGTAGGTTATTAGTCTGTAACTAGAACAGCGTCAGACGCGTGGATTCGTGGGGTGTCCCCCAATGAATTGCAAGGATATGACATTGTCCACGATATCTGGCCAGGGCCATGTGTCTCTGGCCGCGATATTGCGTCGCAATGCAGTCTTAATTACTGAGTTTGCATTTTATACGAGCCCGTTCGATTGCGACATATGGGGAGCAGTATCGCGAATGGAGACACCGTGTAGGACCAGGCTCCTCAAAACATCCCCTCTTAATTCCGCCCCATTGTCCGTTAAGATTTCTTTCGTATCCTGGTGCATGCCGAGGAAACGGTTGACGTATCACGCGATTTCCGCCGCCTGTCTCATCTTACAAGGATACACCTCAATCCATTTTGAAAAATGATCGACAAAGACCAAAAGGATTGAATATTCGCAACTACTCGGTCTTAGGGGGCACGACAATATCCGTTGTATCCATGCTAACCCTTTGAAACGGTCGTTGGACTTCAGTGGGCACTATCGACCTGGGCGGATGAATCGGCGCCTTGTCAGCGGCGCAAACCTGACAATTTCGGACGATGAATATTACATCGTCGCGAATGTTCGACCAATACCACTCGTTCTTATCGATTGCGGCTTCCGTGATTCTGACAACAAAATGGGCGGCGGTTTCCTCGTGTGCTGATTTAACCCAGTCATACCTCATGAACGGATGCGGGACAGACATCCAAATTCCGCTACCATTCGTTTTTCGTTTTTCTAACCGTCCTTCGTTCCATCGATAATCCCAAACCCGCTCATTGGCCCGCCTCCGATCCTCCTTTGTGAAGTCTCGGAGGGGGTTCCCAACCATTGTAGCTATTAGGACGACATCTGTCCAAACCTCAGCCCTCCTAAGCCGTCGAGTTTTTTGTAACCCTTCAGACGTGGCTTCGAGGAATCGAGCCTCCGTCGGAATCTTGTTAGTTCGACATAAGGCCCTGATAAGGGACAAAACCAGGACTTCGTCGTACTCCGGTACTGAATACATGAGCCATGAGCTCGTGAGACACAACGATGATAGTCCACCCATTCAACATATCCTTCCCCGCTTGGACGCATAGGAACCGAATAAACCCTCGAAATTGCTTCGCAAAAATAGCAAAATTTATCGGGCAGGGAGGGAAGATATGAAGACGAAGGGGGAGAAAGAGGGCCTTCGGAATTACCTTCATGCCCCGATGTCATTGCAACCACCAATTACTTCTTAATAGGTCGAGGAAGGATGGTCACCTGCCCCTACAAGGGCTCGCCGTTCGACTCTGGCTCTTTCCACGACATAATCTCGTCACCCTTGGCCACTTTGTTGGGTCGATGCAATCGTGTCAACCCGTCAGCGTTGCCATGCTTCTCTGTCTTCCGGTGGACGATATCGAAATCGTATTCTTGCAGTCGCAGAGTCCAACGCCCAATCATGCCCGTGCAGTTGGTAAGCTTGTTGAGAGCCAGCAAGGATTCATGGTCCGTGACAAGGAGGAATTTGTCCACATAGATTATACTCCCCTGCGGCGGAGCGGAAACCAATGCTGTTGTCATCTCCCTACCCTTTTCCACCTCCTTGCTTTCCTTAGGTGGAGGGGTGGGTGGTTGAAACATGTTCATTACCGCATTGAACATGCGGCGACTAGCTACTGTCCATTTAGCACCCTGTGGGAGCCCTTCAATTAGCACTCGTTTCAAGGAGGGACTGACATTCATTAAGTTGATGAGTTGTACATATTAAGAGGCGTCCCAGAACTCAGTGGTGGCTTCTCCATGCTCTTCTTTAAGTTGGTGGAGCGACCATTCCGCAAGCTGTATCATTTTTTGTTCTACCGTGATGATTTCTTCCTCTCCTGAGGGGGGAGCTTCAGTCATAAGGTTGTTTACAACAGGCTGTTCAGAGTCAATGTCTATGAGAACATGCCCAAAAACTTCACTAAAGAAGTCATGTTGGGGGTCCCCATCCCGCTTTTGGGTCTGTTCTGCTTCCAATGACTGTGATGCCTGCGACGCCCCCCTTTCTTATTGATTGGTGTTGTTCCAACCTTAGGCTTCCATGTTTGTTAATGATGAGGCCCTCCTCTTATTACCATTATTTATTATTTTTATTTTTCTGCTTTAAATTCCTTTTGATAAGTGGCATATCCTGTGAGACATTTTATTCATTGTCCAATTCTTGTTCCATTTCCAAGTCTTGGTTCTGATGACTTCCATCCTTTTGGGGCATATTTAGCTGAGTTGGCGAATCCTTAGCGTTTGTGGTGATCCCAACCTCTTTCAAATAGTTCTGTGGATCTGATGCACGTACAGTTGATGCTGCTTTCTTCTCCTGATCCGATTCAGATCTGCTGAAGCAATCATCTCTGACTTATCAGGTAAGGATTGTGGAGTGGGGGGCGATGGGGAGGAGGTGGGGGTGGCCTTGTTCACAACTCTGTCCGTTGTTTCTGGGGGTGTCCAACTATCTGGGGTTTTGTATCCTTTAGACTTTGAGCCCTTGCCTGCCCCCTTAATGTATACCCAACCCTCGTGTCCCTGATCCACAGTCCTCCACAAATTACTCTTGAAAGGATCTCTGATCAGCCTCCCTGTCACCCTTCGCCTGCGTGCTGGATTCTTTTCACAGGCCTCATTCGTGCTTAGGTGACCATAAGTTTTACAGCGGAAGCACCACGGACGCAGTTTCTGCGCCGAGTGAATATGAAATTTCTTCCCCCCCACTCTGTATGGGATGATATCTGTGTATCTTTTTAACGGAGAACGGGTGAATTAAACTCCCGTTGAATCCCGTTAAATTCAAAAAAATTCTGTTGAATTCGCGCTAAACGCGAAAATGGGCCCCTCCCACGCTTTTCGGAAAAGCAGAATTGATGCGTAGGGTCCGGAACACGCGGCCCTACGCAAAAATAAAAAATAAAGAATAAATAAAAAACCCTACCCCTTAAGCATCTCCCATCTGCCCCCACATCCCCCAAACCCCAACGCCCCAGTTATGTGTGTGTAGGTGTGCTGTGTGTGCGCGTATGTGTGTATGTGTGTGCCTGCGCGTGAGAGTGTGTCTGTGCATGAATATGAATGTATGCGCGTGTGTTTGTCTATATGTTTGTGTATGTGTGTGTGTGCATGATTGTTGGCGTGTGTCCATTGTTTCCCTTTTGAGGGATAAAGTTTTTTCCCGTTGAAAACTGGGGGCGGGTGATATGGGTTTGGGCGGGCGATTTTTCTCTTTTTTTTTTTTTTTTTTTTTTTTTTTTCTCTTCTACTGCATCTTCCCAGAAATACAGTATCCAAGCATTCTACTGTTTGTTACCAAGTAACGAAATTGAGAACGGACTGCCATGCCTCGTTGGCAGGGCTTGCTAAAAAAAGAAAAGAAAAGAAAAAACGTACTTACCTTTGCCATGAATCTGGTAGAACATAGGTAGATACACTGCCAGTAGTTTAGAGCTAAGCCTTGAAATGTCATTTTTCCTGACCGCGTGTAGGGCGGCACAGCCCTCAGTAGCTTGCTATTCGTTTTTCAGGTTTTTTTTTTTTCTTTTTTTCCCTCTTGCGATCCAAGAATTTGGGCTCCGTCCAGCGGCTTAGCTCAGTTGATTAGGCACGCAAGTGGCATTCAGGAGGTTGTGGGTTCAATCCCCGCCTATGGCACTCTCGATGCCAACCGACTGAGATAGTCAGCTGGATCCTCCCAGTCTGTATCAGTAAGGTCTTCAGCCAACACGGTTGGGAGGCACCTCTTGTCCCTACTATCCTACCTCAGTGTGAACAGCATTGAGGACCATCACCCTACCAGCATTGAGGGCAACTTGGACGACATAGCAGTGACAAGCACCAGGTTTGAGCCAACCTCCCAACCCTAATAGAAGTGGAGGCGGACGAACCATGCCGTATGGAAACTTCGGACGCCAGACTCATGCAATCTACTACAAGCCCAATTTTGTGTGTTTGTGTGTCTTTTTTTCTTTTTTTTTTATTTGCTTTTTATGGTTTTGATTTTTTTTTAAATACACGAAGTTCTAAAAAAAAATAAATAAAAAAAAATTGTTGTACATCTTTGAAAGATCTACAATCTTATATTTTTTATTTGTT